GGTTGTTGGAGTTGGAGTTGGAGTTTGTCCCATACATTGGTCTCTGAATAATTCGCCACTGATTGGTTAAATAAGTGCTTAATTAGTTAATTGACTGTGAGTTAATCATGATAACCAAGTTAATTAAAACACTATTTTGGTGGTTGTTGAGTAATAAAATGATTAATTAACTATTTAAATTTAAAAATTATTATATAAATATAGTGATAAAGGTTTTTTTTTAAAACTAAAATAATAAAAATAGTAATATATAGTTTAAATTCGTCTAATATAAACCTCCAAAAATTGTCTATATAAACTCTTTTCAAATTCTATATACGTCAAACCAACGACAAACAAGAATTATAAACTTTCCACTTTGAAATGAATGGAAAATCTACGAGAGAAATGATACTCGAATACAACACCATCTCTTACTCTATATATCCATGTAAAAATACAATTCTAAAAAATCACATGTTTCAAGTAAAAGATCAGTCGATTTTGCATGGCTAGCACAAAGCAAACAAAAAGTATTGAAATGTCTCACTAAAATTCTCTACTTAAAAAGGTTTTGGAGAGTATAAGCCTTATCTCAAAGTAAATTTGAAGAAATAACATTGACTTTGGGGACGTCTTACTTTTACATACATCTACTAAGTTTCCTTATCACCTTTTATATGCAGCCACACCACATGTCCGCCTCCCCGAACAACACATAAGTTAATTTAACTTAGTCGTACCCCCAAGATTATGAGTCCTATTCTTTGGAAAACTCAATACCATTAGTTATTATTAATAAGGAGACTAATAACTCATGCTTTTTAACAAACTACTTTGTTCCCTAACCTCAACTCTCGAAACCCTAAAACCTTACCCATATTCCCCTATTTTACCCATGAAGTCGTCCTTCTGAACCAAAATCTACTTTTTTAAAATCTCTTTATGAAATAGACACATTGAACTCAATCTTCGATCCAAATAGACATCAGAAACTCATTATACACCTCTTTAAGAATCCCCTCAAAGAACTAGTGCAACGTTGATAACCTTATAGATCCAAGGAGAAAGATTGACTTCCACTAGAAAGAAGTAGATTGGAATCCCTCCAATGAAACCAAAGTCTCGACAGACCAGTACAAGTCTATAACCACCTTTTTCAACATAGTATCCCTTCTAAAAATGAGCCTCTAACCGCACTAATTATCCATGAAAACAAGATTAAACAAAGTGTACTTCCGTAACCCCTATACCTCCCCTACTCTTGTTGGTATGTAAAGTAGTTTTAAGGGCCAAAAGAATAGTTTTTTTTAATCAAAGTGGTTTTACAATAACTATTAACAACTAAAACAACATATTTAGTTTTTTTGTAAGCAATTGGGTTAATAAAGAGTATTAGGGATACTCCTCTCAAATACAAAAGTTAACACAAATTAAGATAGATCGAAGGAGTCTTGCTCCAATTATAAACATTAGAACAACCTTTGGACTTCAAACCTATGATATTCTAAGTCCAAAAAACTAATTTGGTGTTATTCACCAACTTTCTTACATCATAAATGTCTCCTTTAAAGAGGATATTATTTCTCATGATCCAAATGCTCTAGAAAGTTGTAAACCAAATGACGAGTTCCTCGTTGATTGGAACTCTACCCTTCATGATACTAGATAACCACTTAAGATAAGCAAGCCTCTCCAATGGTTGGTTACCTTCTCTATCAAGGCACCCCAGAATACGATCATAAACTTTGATCGAAAGAGAAGACTAAAACAACAAATGGTTAAGATATTCTTCCTCCGTAAAGCAGAAGACACAAGTTTTACTATGATCATCATGGTTATTCCCCTTAATACCAATTGGTTTCTTATTGATGTACTCTTTAAGGTTAACCTCCACCAAAAAACTATGAAAAGCACAACCTCTATTCTAATCCAGAGTAGCACCAACTCCCTGCCTTGTCACCAACTTGTATCTAAACCTAATTAAATAAAATCCATCAACGCCATGCAACCAAACAAACCTGTCATTTTCATTATTCAACAAATCAATATCACTCAGGATCACCAATAGGGAGTATTGCTTACTAAGGGAATTAAAATCCCTCCACCAAAGGGAGTATTGCTTGTTATCTTTAGGCTTTCCACCCCAAGCATTAAAGATTCCAACTTTCCATATATATGATACCTAATCTGCTTTCACAAATTAAAGACAAGTTAAAAGCTTCCACATCTCTGATACCTAATCCTCCATCCTTTCTTGATCTTTAGACATTCTTCTAACTCGCTTAACACATCCCTTTCTTCTCCAAAGAATTATTCCATAAGAATTCCCTATGAATTTTAAAGATTTTTTCATCTCCTGCTTTGGAGCTCTAAATAAAGTTAAGAAATAAATATGCAAGTTGCTCAAAATATAATTGATCAAATTGACTCTACCACCAAAAGACAAGAATCTGCCATTTCAAGAAGATAACTTCCTTTTTTAGGTTATCGATAATAGTTATCCAAGTTTCAACTCTTTTGCGATTGAAACCAACAAAGATGCTAAGAAATTTGAAAGGATAGAGTCTGTACAATAAGAAAGGAAGTGGGAAGCAAACTACATAAAATCTTCAGAGATATTTAGGCCATACAACTTGTTTTTGAAAAAATTCACACTCAATTCTGACATTAACTTAAATCCCCTCAGCAAAGCTTTAATGCTCCACAAATTATGCCAATACCCATCACCAAGAAGAATGGTATTATCTGCAAATTGCACGATGTACTCCAGCATATTGTTGACATTGAATCCAGAAAACTCACCTAAGTCAATTGTTCTCCCCATCATGTCTGAGAAGCCTTCAACCACAATTGAGAAGCATGTCTCAATCCCTTGCCTTCTTAAAGTGTTTGTTTGGTCTTCCATTGACCAACACTCACAAGCTACTATTGAACACATAAGAATCCATCCAAAGAAGTCATTTGTCACCAAAACATGTTCTTCTTAACATGAACTTAAGGAAGTTCTAATTTACATTCACTACTAGAAAATTCGCTTTTAGTGACTGAAAATTTTCGGTCACTATAGCCACCAAATTAGCCACTATAATTGGACATCATGTTAATAAAATTTTAAAGGTCACCGAATCAGTCATTAAATAAAATTGGTCACCGAATTAGTGACTGCAATTTTATGACCGTAATTTTCAGTCTCAAATAAACATTTATATAAAAAATTAATTTATAAAAAATTGTAGTGACCAAAATTTCGGTCACTAATAATTTTTTTTTTCTTTATTAAGTTACTTCCTCCAATTTTTTTTTTTCCTTTTTTTAAAAATATTTTAGTTCCTTTTCAATTTTTATTTTTGTAATGAAAGTTTTATATTTTTGATCATTTTAAGAAATAAAAGTTATATTTATATAAATAGGTCATCCATACAAATTTATTAATTTAAAAAATATATATAATTTTAATAATAATTTGTTTAATAATTTTTTTAATAATATTTAAATTTTTATTTCGTTTATAATATATACAATTTTAAAGAAAAATATTTATCTAAATTGAGATAGTTTAGTGGGCATGCTCAAACTTCTTAAACATTGGGGCATTGGTTTGATTCTTTAATGTGTTAAAACTTTTGATTTTATTTTAATTTTTTTTTAAATTTAATAATCGCTTTATTGGTCACTAAAAATTATAGGAACTGATTTTTACGTTTTTTTTCTTTAATTCGGTCATTAAACACAAAAATTTTAATAGTTATTATCATAAATTAATCTACCTTTAATATAAGACAATCCTTCTTTTTCCTCCTTCCCAAATCAATAATTTCATTCACCACCACAACTCCATCTAAGATCTATATTCCACGAATACTGTGACAACTTGATATCATCTTGCGGATCACCTTTTTTAAGATTGAAGCCAACAATTTTGCTAATATCTTATAAAGGCTACCTACTAAACAAATTGGCCTATAATCCCCAAAACCTTAAGGGTTAACATATTAAGTTGAAAAATCATTCTTTTTAGAAAATCATAATGGCATAATGATATTAACACCATAGAAAAAGCTCCTTTAGTTGTTACAACAACATTTTAAAAAGAAAAAAAAAAAAACAACAGAAATCTAATTTTTAACGGTATATTAAATAACCGCCTTCCACTACAATAAGAAAAACATGCGTTTATAATTTTTAATAAACTTTCTCTAACAACCACTCATGCTTTATTACTATATGTTCACAAGGAAATTCTTGAATCTTAAAAAGAACAATCTGAATGTGCTCAATTTGACTGTGAATACAAAACCAACCAATGATCCATGATTTTGATTAAGACCAGTCAAAATTCTTTTGAGAAGCGTTGAAATCAACATTCAGAATATCTATGATTTTGCTGTTTACGGTTTTCAGTGCAAAACCTTATATCCCCTAAATCTTCTTGAAAATGAAACCCCTACAACCAAATATTTTATTTTACTTATTGATAATGAAACTTAAACACATTCAACCAATTTCATGTTTCACCACTAAAAATTAAAAAGAGTTTCTCAAGATTTTTTTCTCAGCAGAGATCAGTTATCTTTTGTACTAAATTACAAAGATTAATCTCCCAAATCAGAAAAGACAGTCCCCTCAAAAAAATTTTAATACTACTGCATGCATTAAGTCGGAGTTTTAATAGATTTGTGTTGTGATAAGTGGTAACCGATTAATGTAAACTTACATCATAAACATTTTCCATTTCAAAAACAAATAAAACTAACACACATATTTTTTTGACTAATACATTAATATTCATTTGTTTAAACTTTGAACTCACAATATTAATCCTTAAGTAAAGATTATATATCACACAAACCATGTTCTATACCTAATAACTAGAAGAAAAATGAAAGAAAAAAAAAAAGATTAAGAATTCATAAAGTTGAAATATAAGAATCTAACAAACAAACATCCCTAGGGTTTTCATTCTATCTTAAAAGGGAAGAATAAAAAAACTTAAATTTTCAAAAGAAAGCATAGTAAAGTTAAGTTCTATAGTTGGAATTTGTAGTAGCTGAAGAAGAGTTAAAAGGTGAAAGATCATTCCAAGCTGAACTAGCACCACCACCACCATTAGAAGAACTCCAATATTGTTCACTACTTGGATTATTATTGTTGTTGTTACTATTGGTTATTCCCAAGAATTGTTTAGATTGATTCTCTTCCATTTTCACATTAGAAACACCACCATGTGCATGTTCTTGATCATTACCACCAAATGGATACAACAACCCATGTGAAGAAGAAGCTTCTAAGCTTGTTAAGAAGGGGAATTGATGAGTTTGTGGCATTCTCCATTGCTCGAAGTTACCGGTAGGTAAAATCGAAGCAGAACCACCACTTCGACCACCGTTGATGCTTCCGCTTAAAGAGCTTCCAATATGGAAATTTAAGTCTCCTACACCACCCATTTGACTATGAAAATTATAGTTTAGACCTATTTCACCGAGGTGATGAACGCCGAGTTGATGTAAAGGAGTCATGAATCTCATCGGCGGTGGCGTCTGGGAGCTGAGCACTGCAGGAGAGTTGTTTGCCGAGCTAGTTTGACGATCGGAACTAACCGGTGACTTAGATGTGTTGTTACTGCTTGACTTAGTTCTTTTGTTTCTTCGGCAACCACCGCCGACTGGGACACTTCTAAGGGCGCCGCCTCTTGTCCAGTACCGTCTGCAGGTCTTGCAGAAGTGGCGAGGCTGTGAGAGACTGTAGTTATTGAAGTAACAAAACTTTGTGTTGGTTGAATCACACCTTGGACATTTTTGCGACGGTTCTTGCATAGGTATGTTTGCCATCCTAGCCCTATCAGCCATCGAACCTGGTCTGATCGAGCTTCCATGAGGCTGCTGCAAAGGTGTCAGGTTTGATGGTTGAAGCTGTGGTGGCGGAATTAGAAAAGGAGTGTTGACACTAGTGTTAGTCACTTGATGATGATTTTGTTGCTGCAAAAAAGGAAATAAAATTAATTTGGTATATTCAAGAGAATGGTATAAGCAAAAGTAAAGCAAGAATATTTATCTTTTTGAACTTTTTTTTTGGTTTTCTTTTGAAAAACCTAATTGAAGAACCCTTGTGAAAATTTACCTGTTGATGCCAATTGGTTGGATCAATATATGGTGGGAGAGAAGTATAAACCATGGTTATTCTTCTTGGAGCTTTCTCTTTTTGTAAAGGTTGATGGGTTTTTAAGGATAGAGAATAGTGAAGAGAATCACATCAACAAATTAAAGAGAGATAATGTTTGTTTTTTGTTTGTGGTTGAGTTGAAGATAGAAGAGAGAAAGAAAAAGAGAGAAAGCAAGAAAGAAAGAAGTGAGGGATATCAAAGGGTTAAGGTGGTGGTGATGAGAACCTAAAAATAAAGGAAGATGCTTTTGAGTGTGTATATATATATTATAAAATTTGTTTTTGTTTATTGTTTCATTATTGTTTTCCCTCCCATTTCCCTATATATCTCTTTTTGTTTTATTGCTTTTCAGGATTTTGAGAAGGTGATGTTTCTTAACCCATAAGCTTCTTTTCTGATGCCTTGTAAGTACTTAGAAAAAGAGATTGTTATAGTGCTTCTCTCTCTTCTCTCTTTCTCTTTCTCCATTCTTGTGCATGAAAAAACTCTTCTCTCTTTCTCTTTCTCCATTCTTGTGCATGAAAAAAGCTAAGTGAGTTTGATATGTCATGTTACATTTTAATAAGAGAGATAGAAAATAGAAGATAGCGTTTTGTTTATGCTGACCAACCTATATATATAACATATGGTAGCAATTTGAGATGAAGATTCCATGCAGTCAAGCATTCACATATTCGGCTCTCAGTATACGTTTGATCAATATTAAACGGTGTAAATTAAAATTTTATATTTTAAAGTATAAATCAAAAAAAAGAATTTTAACCATTGAATCTTCACTATCTCGATTGAACGGTCATTGATGCACTAAATACGTAAATGTGTGTATAAATTATCAAAGTTATAAATCAAAAAAAGAATTTTAACCATTGAATCTTCACTATCTCGATTGAACGGTCATTGATGCACTAAATACGTAAATGTGTGTATAAATTATCAAAGTTGTATGAAGATTAATCACGATTTAAATGTTATAAATCAAATAAAATTTTATTTTATCATGATTTAACTGTGACAAATAATTTTTAAATTATTTTTAACCACAGTTTAAATATATAAAATTTTTAATCAGTACGCTTTCAAATACGACCCATAGTAGTAAATAATTGCAATTGAATCTACATTCATTCAGCAATTTGAGGTAGAATGGCCAAAAGAAACTTTAATTATGATTCTACTATAAAATAGTATAACATTAGTTGGTGATTGAATGATTAATTAAGGTAAAGAATGTGGTTGGTATATTTTAATGTTTTTTAAAATTGGAATGAAATAAATAAAGTTGGTCTATTTGTGCTTTTAGTGTGTCCCGACCAAGTGAACCTTTTCTTGGTCTCGTCTGTTCCCTTCCCCACTCCAATTTTCTTTTTTGCATGGATATATATATATTTTTTTATAATTCACGCGCCACCATGTGAACAAATCAGTCAAACTTAATATTGTTACTTTTCTTTACTCACGTATACAATTTTAGGGTAATGCTAACTTGTGTTTTAAGGGGCACAAGTTAAAAACTAAATTAAAAAATATTGTCTTGAAAATTGTGTACAAATTTTAGTTAAAATATTAAATTATTTTTTAAATTATTTTTTTCAATATAAATTTATTATAAGTGACTTTCTTAACTTGTGTCTTGTATTACCCATAATTTTATGGAGAAGGGTAGAGACACACTATGTTAGGACAAAAAAGGATTAACAAGAAAATAAAATGTATGTTAGAAAATATTGTTGTTTATGTCTTAATAGTTTTGGAATTTGTCTTAGTAGAATACCAGATTTTGAAATTGACTTCATGCATGCTTAGGTATTAAGGTCTCTGCAAAGTGTTTGAAGCCACCTTTGTATGAATTTTTTATTGGATCAAATTTGGTGTATCTAAAGAGTTTTGTTTGGTATGGAACTGTTTTTGTATCATTAGCATTTGATCTTAGTAGCACTATGGAATGCAAGATTTGTAGTTAAATGATATTTTTTTTATCTAATATTAATTTTAAATTAAAATTAAGTAGAAAGTTAATAATAAAAAGGTAGGTAGAAAGTTATGTAAAAGGTTAATGAAAAATATTGAATAAGTTATATATTAAAGTAAAAGTAAAATTGATAGAGAAATAAGCTACACCAAAATACCATGTTTTGTCTTTATATATGTTATAGATTATGGGATGGACAAAATAGTATTAAATCTAGTCTAAACTTCAACTTAATGAGACGTGTTTTTAAAAGACAAAATTGGGAGTATTATTACATTCCAAACGAACAATACTTTGTAATCATAGTGACTTGAATTTGAGATTGATCAAACCATTATTTATTTGGATGTGCTATCGTGATCGATTAAGGTGATTGTTTTCTACTTTAATTTAGTATCAAACTTGAGAGATAATTTTTCAAATAATAATATTATTAGGAGGAATATCAGCGATCCTTTTTTAATTATAATTAAGTTGTTTGATTAAAACACTTTGGATTTAGTTAGAGTCTTGGATCCACACTTTTATTATAGTTGATTGGCTAATATTTGTAAAAAAAAGTCAATAAAAAAGATCTTTTGATTTGTTGTGAGACATCATATCTATGTTTATCTCTGACGCGCAAAGCGGACCCATAGTGATGTAAGGGGGTGCAGTTGAACCCCTTGGATTTTTAAATTTCTTTCTATTATTTTAGTTTTTTTTATTGTTGCACCCCCTTGATTGATTATTTATCGTAGAAACTCAGAAAGATGTTAATATATTTGTGTATTCGATATACCTCTCAATACAAGCAAATCCTGATATTTATAATATAGGGTTGCAGACAAAAAAATATAAATAGAATAATTACACATAAAGACTACTTAAACCTAACAACTAATAAATAAATTTCAATAATGAGATAATCAAAACATATCATAACATTCCCCCTCAAACTCAAGTTGGTGGAGTTGCAAACAATTTGAGTTTGGAAACTAAAGTCCGAAAGTGACAGGGATAATGAGGTTTTGTGAAAAAGTCAGCTGGTTGGTCAAGAGTTTCTATGGAAATAAGATGATGTTCACCACAAAGAAGATGCCGACGAATGAAGTGACAATCAATTTTAATATGTTTTGTTCGCTCATGGAAAGCATCATGTAAGCAATTTGAATGGCACTATGATTGTCATACTAAAGATATGTAGGGAAAGGTTGAGATGTCTCTAAATCACCAAGAAGCAAATGAAGCCATAATATCTCAGTTGTCGTACAACAAGAGGATGATATTCAACTTCAGTGATAGAGGGGGTTGTCAATGTTTGTTTCTTGCTCCGCCAAGAAATAAGAGAATTTCCAAGGAAAAAAACACGTGATAGATCGATAATCACTAGGATCACCAGCCCAATCAGCATCAAAGTATGCTCTAACAATCAATGAGGATGTAGCTGAGTAGTGTAGACCATAAAACATGGTGCCTTTAATATATCAAATAATTTGGAGGACAACAAAATTATGTATGGTACGCGAAGAGACCATGAATTGACTAACCAAATTAACAACATATGATATATCTAGTATAATAATTGTAAGGTAAATCAAGCTACCTACGAGTTACTAATAAATAGGTCATTACTGTCGTACCTCAAAAAATACGATCCTCCCGATGGACGCGGAAAAAACGTTCGAATAGAGTCGCCATCGAAATTTATTCATTACAAGGAAGGAATAGGAAAATATCGATAAAACATTTAAAAGATATAAGAACATGGTCATCGCAACCAAATTCAAGGTTCGGGAGTCGATTACGCAAAGGGAAGTTATTAGCACCCTCTACGCCCGTTGTACTCAACGAGAACCTCTTGATTCAATTCGAGAGAAAAGTTAGCTAGGTTGTTTGTTTTCTTCTAAGGATTCGCTTCTAAGGGGAAATGGGTGGTTTTTTTATTAGGGTGCTCGCCAAGGATTGAGGCTCTTGTGCCTACGTACACCCTCATGCAATGGGAAAGTCAGAGCATCGTAGTTCGTAGGACTACGGGAAAAGGTTTGAGGTAAAAGAAAAAGGTAGCTCGCTAGGATCTCGCAATCCTATGCCTACGTACCCGCATGATGCAACGAGGAAGTCAGAGCAATCGAAGTTCGGACAACTACAGATAGTTGGTTTGTGTTTTAAACGAATGAGTGTTTAGGTCGTATTCTAACTGCTAAATATTGGCTTGTCTGCTCGCTAGGGGAAGCTGAAGCACGAGTTTATATGCGCATAAGAAGGGACTAAACAATGTTCTTTGTGAAAAGTTATTTGAGTTGTGGATTGCACGGGGGCGATGACTTAATGTTTTGAGAAGTTTCAATCGTACAGGGACGATAAAAGAGAGTTTGGCATATTAGATATTTTGATTAAGAAAATAAAATTGATTTGAATAGGTTTTTAGGGTTTCATTCGCATGAGAGAGAGGAAATAAGGTTTAATTGGTTGAGTATTTTAAGGGAGAATGATGACTATTCGATAAACGAGACGTCAACCTCGCAACCAATTAATCGGGGCATTACTGGAATGCTAGATCCCAATGACACCGTTTTCATTCAATTAATTAAGAAAGTGTCTTTGTTGGACAATGAATGCCTTTGTCCAAATAATTAGCGCAAGTGTTTTAGGAACAAAAGGTAGAGCAACCCACAACCCAAGGCGTGCGCCCCAAGAGCGGCCACTCAAGAATCCAAGGAGTGCAAGGCTCCAAGAACACAGTTCTTTCGTCATTTAATTAGGAAAAATATTTGAATTTGATTAACGTATTTTAATTAGACGCGTTGGGTATTTTAAACGAAACGAGTTTTTTAGAAATGCAAGATCGAAAGGATCACAACCCAAGGCATGCGCCCCAAGCGCGATCTTTCAAAAACCCAAGAGGTGCTAGACCACAAGAGTTCAATATCTTCATTAATTAAGCAAATAGTTTGCTTAGCCATATTTGAGAAACAATTTAATTAGGTTAATTGCTTCAATAAAATTTGAGTTTGCATGGATTAAAAGTTTTGAAAAATGTTAAGTATTTTAAAAGGGTTG